TGTATTATATTTGAACTATTATGTTACTATTTAAGCCAAAATATTCTTAGCCATCCTAAGAATATCCACTCGTTCCATGTTTTGATCTGCAGTGGCTGCAAAGACCTCTGCTTTCATTGCCTCCAGACTCTGCTAATACTCTTGATTAAAACCTAGAATATAAAGTGACCGGTACTAAGAGCCAATGTTTAAATCTCTGAACATTGTGAAATTAAGGGGTCAGTTTTCCTGCATAAGAGAGAACTTTTCAACAACACAATGTATTTGATTCTACTTTGAGGAAAAAAAATCCAGACATGTATCTTACAGGACTGAGTTATGTCAGAACTATTTTGGGATTTTCCAAGAAGGAATCATAGAATCATGGAGCATTAAGCTCATATAATTTGGAAATAAAATATTTGATTATTTTCACTTTTTAGTCTGTTACCACTCGTGATAACTGTTTCATCATAAGCTTATATATGTTGAAGTCTTAAAGCAAGGGAGGTTAGTTTTCTGAATCTGTAATTCGACAGCACTCACTCCCCCGTGGAAGTGGATTTTGTAACTTTTCTAAAATTTTTCTCCTTCAGTGCTAAACAAACCCTGTTTCTGCATGTCTGAATCTAGGTGGATGCATTGCGATTACGACTGGAAGAGAAGGAGACTATGCTAAACAAGAAGACGAAGCAGATACAGGAGATGGCAGAGGAGAAAGGGACTCAAGCAGGAGAGATCCATGACCTCAAGGACATGTTAGAGGTGAAGGAACGCAAAGTTAATGTTCTTCAGAAGAAGGTAAGATTGTAGAAGTCTAAGTCACATACAGATTTCTGATGCGTTTTGATTTCTAAGTGTCAGGAAGTCTGAACTAGAATTTACGTTTTGGAGTTTAGTGATTGAGTCCATTCTTGTAATGGGAAGATGGTGGATGGTGAGTTTCAGTTTGAGGTTTTGAAGGAAAAATGGAAAGAATTCAAAGCACAGGTTGTTTCCTTTCAGTAGTTGCATGTGCTGCTTCTGCTTCCATTTCACTCTTAACAATGACTGAAGTATTTGTAGGAGGGCACATCATCTGAAAAAAATCAGTCCTTTCACACCCTCCACTTTAGCAAAGCTACACTGAATTTAAGCCTAGGGCAGTTGGTGACTGACTTCAGTATGTGACTGAGTGAATGAGGAGTTGTGTCAGTAGAAGCAATTATGATGATTCCTCCGTAACTTACTGAGAAAGTTCAGGAAGACGTTTGTGTAACTTTCATTAGAAATGTTGTTTAACCTTACTTAATATTTCTTGGGAAGTGCTAGAATAGGATAACCATGGTTCAGACTATCCTGCATATCTTTCTGGATAAGAAAATGTAGACCTTATCAGTGAAATGGGGGAGGTCTGGTTAAGAAAAAGTAGACTCTGACAGAGAAATCAGAGAGATTTCCCAAAGCACATTGAGTCCTAGAGCAATGAATGTCATTATGGATGATCGTTGGCAAATTGCACATATTATATCTCAAATTGCTGCTATACATGGTAAGGAGAAATGCACGTATCACAATAATTTTTCATTTTTAAAGTATTTTTTCTTCTCTAGAGAAGCTGCTCTTAAAGCTTGTATTAAGCTGTGAATGTGATATGGGTTGTTTGGTTTTTTTTTTTTTCCCCTAGACCCTTAGGCAATTCTGTGGAACTCTTGTGATTTTAATACTTCAGAATATTGATTAATTTCTGACACCTGGCCAATGCCTTTTCTTCTAGGATATAGCTATGAATCATGAGGGTTTAAGGTCATGTTCAGTTCTGTTACAGCAAACATCGTGCAGGAATGGAAGTTCAGGCATACAGTTTAGCTGTAAATAAGTCATTAATAATTCCAGAACAGCCCTAATTCCCAGTCTTTATAGTCTCATTTTTTGACTGTTCATCTTTTTAGAAACACAGATTTCTAATTTTTGTGCTAAGCTTTCTTCATGGTTTCAAAATTGGTCATGCACACTCCAAACATTGATTGAGATCCCAGCCAAGTGTTTAACCAAGTGGGGAATCTGACATTTGTGTAAATATTAAATGTCAGTGAGGTTGGTTTATTTCCATTTACTCTTACACTGTGTTTTCACATTTTCTTATTTGCTCTACTTAACTCCTTAGAATTATCTTTCATTGGTTCATTTACAGGCAGTGCTAAAGGTTTTACTTTTACTCATTTTTTTTATACTTGTTTTCTTGAGACGTCTGTAATCCATATAAAGACAGTTTTATCTTGTCTCTTCATGTGGCGAGCCTATTTTTTGAGGTTTGTTTGCTTCTGCTTTCAAGTAAAAGTACCTGCTCTCTTCAGATTAGAAAGTAAGGGCCTAGGCTTTTAGATGTAAAGGTTTTGAGGACTTGTTCTCCTAGATAGCTCAACAGAAGGTAACACTACCATAATAATCTGCAATTTGAATTGTTTGTAAACCTGTCTCTGAGCTGCTTAAACAACAACATACAACATATCTCTAGAAAAATATGTATTTCCTACTGCTAACTAGAGTCACATGCAGAGATTTGAATTTCCTTCAGCCTTGAAGTTGTTGGAACCATTTCCTTTAAGATGAACAGTTAAACTGTGAGGGTTTTAAATACAAAGATTAATTTTTTTTCAGTTTCTGTAACTAGCAAGTGTAGAATATTTTTATGGAGAATCCAGCTGACAATACTTTTATCTGAGGTTTGTGGTGCAATATGGATTTTTTTTTTTTATTTTTTTTTATTTTTTTTTAATAACCTAGGGTAAATGAGCACAAATTCAGTCGATTAAAGTTTTAGGGTTGATATCTTCAACTGATTTTTTTGTTAGGTTCTCCAGACCTAGAATCTAAAACTAGGTTTGGGATTTTCTGTAGATTGAGCTTTGCATTTTCTTGTTCTCTTTAGCATTTTTTCACAGAAAAGCAGAGGTTGGGAAAATACCTAAGGAAGTTCAGGTCTCATTTTCTCTGTATCCTGCGAAAGTCATGAGAACTTGCTGTTCTGAACTACCATGTATTTCAGATGCTAGAGAAAACTTCTATTTGAACTAGATGCCTGTTCTTTTTTGACTGTACAGATAGCTATTTCTGCCTTCTGCCTTGAACCTTAGAAGCCTGTAGCTCCTCTCATGTAAATGTTTTTCTCCTAAAGCTTGTAAACTGTGATTTACTACTTTTTTTGCGTCTCTAGAGTGCACTTTCTTACTAAAGTGCCTTTCTTACTAAAGCAGCCTGTTTTCTGCTTTGTCCAAGTGCTGTCTTTCAGACCTTCCAGGACAGTTCAGAATTTTATTGTCATTTAAAAAAAATATGCTGCCTTTAAACTTTTGCCTTCATGCACAACAGTCTTTTTATTCCTCCGTTTGATTATAAACTGGTGTGTTCAGACAGATCAGGTTTTAATCTGTATATTCTAATTGAAGAACATTTTTGTGTGGTGCCCTAAACAGTGCTGTACTAAATTTCTGCAACTTCTGTTTTTGAAACAAAAATTATTTAAAATCCACCCTTTACTATTGGGTCTGTGTTTGGATTCATTGACACAGGCCACTGCATAGTTTGTTTTATGCACTATTAATATCATTGTATTGATTAAATGTGGTGAACTACAACGTGTACTTTCTGGTCGTCCTAAAATCCAGGTGAAGTAAGTAATGGAAGTTTACTAGTCAACTAGAGGTCAAAGAAAAGACAAAGAAGAAGATTATGAGCAACAAAGATCTGAAAAATTAATATGACAGTTGGCACCACTACTCATACCCAGTAGGCACCAAAATACATTTTCCAGGTTGCTGAGGAAATCACATGCTTCACATTTTAAATTCTGGAATCTTCCCAGTTCTAAGCTCCTACAGTGATGCTGATTAGTAGCACCTTATTTGAGAAAATAGAAATAGGGCAAACACTAGAAATTTGGAGACTACAGAAATGAGTTCTAGCTTTATGTCTGAAAATTTGATGCAAATCTTAGTTCTACAAAGCTTCAGGATTTTTTTTTTCATTTCATTGAAAATAAATCTCACATAAAAACCTCATTTTAAGTTGTTAGAACTCCAGGCAAGGGGAGAATGTCATTAAATAAAGCAGGGACCATGCTGGGCAAATTCGAAATCTGAAAAGCATTAAATTGCGCTTCATAATTCTCTTTATCACATCTGTCTATCTATGCTGCTGGATCAGGATGAAAAGCAATTAAAAAGAAATAAAATCAATACTTTGAAATCAAAGCATTTTAGAGAAATAACATTTGGACAAAAGAAAAGTAACAGTTACCCTAAAAGGAAGAAAAAAAAGGCAAGCAGTGAATCAATCACCCCTTGCTTTGGGAGGAGGTCATGTTTTGTCTTGGGGAGGGAAGGTTAACACTCCCTTCATTGTGCCGTGCAGCTGCAGGCAAATAAAATGCAAGTTGTAGTGTCTGAACATAGCAATGGTTTTTGGCAGCTCCCCATGCCCTATGTAATAATTGACCTGTGACAGAGGAAGAACAAAGATTATTTTTTGTTTTTATTTATTTATTTATGTTTTGTGTGTGTGGCTGTGCTGACTTCTTCAGCTAGTATTCGGGAAGAGTCCAAACGCAATTTTCCTGCTCTTTTCGATAAGCAACATTGCCTTCAGGGGAAATAAATGTCTTCTGCTTTTGAAAAAGCTTAGAAATCAAACTAAGTGTCTTATGCTTAATGATAAGAAATACTTGCAGAGGGACTGCAAATGGAATTTATAACTCAGTTGTTTAAAATCGGTTGTGATGATAGTTACTACAACAGCAGTGTTGGTTTAATATTCATCACTTTTGTACTGTTTGTACTTCAGAGATTATTTTCTTTCCATTCCCTCCTCTGTGAAGTAGATTTACTTCCCCAGGCAGTCCTGCTTGAACCCTGAAGAGACAACAGAGCTCAGAGAAGAAACTGCATTTTCAAACGTTGAATTCAGTTCATGGTAGTTTTATCTTCTATGGTGTGACCTTGAACTTGCTTAACAGGTGAACGGATGTATGGTTTTCTAAGAATTAATAAAATGCAGGATGGACTTTTAGATATCTCTTTGAGACTCTCTACAATGATATTCAGTGCTTAAAACTCTATAGTATTATCACTGTGGGTGATGGCCTGTTCAAACCTGCAGCATGTATCTGAGTGTTTGGTTGTGCAAGACTATACAGGAAAGAACAAAGTAAGACTGACCCAACAAAGATGGTCCAGGTGTACATTTACAAAGTGGGTGAGCATCTATCCACTTACTTTAGACTGGATAAATTTTGGCCTTTGTAATATTCCTGCAGGCAAGCTTATTCTCTGCTTTTTACGTGCTTGAATCATAAAAATTTAGGGAGGAACACTGTACATTGCTCCAGGATCATATTAGTCAGCTCATCAGCCCAGCTTTTGCATGGGAGTAGAAGGAGGATATGCTGGACTTTCTGCTCAGCTAGGACTGACAAAATAGCAACTTTTATTCAGGAACTCTGTGGCTTAACAAGCAGTGCAAATACAAGAGTATTTCTGTAAATATCACTCTCAGAAAAAGACATACTTCTGCTCCTTTTACTCCAAGTCTCAAGGCATGCCGCTGAACTGGTTCCAAACCCAGTTCAGAGATTTCAAACGCCACAAAAAAGACCTAACATCTCCACAGGCTTGTGCCAGCTTCTTTATTAAAACTGACAGACATGACCTCAAAGATGTGTCCTGGAGGGTCATGGGGGACTTGTCCCCCTGTGTCCCTGAAGGGATAGCAGACCTCTTCTGCTGCTGCTTGCTCTTTCAACCTTTCTGTTGCAGGCATGTTGA